TCTCAGATTCTCCAGCATCGGCAGTTCTTACTATCTCTAAACCTTTTACCTAACCGGTCCGAATCCTGATCATCAGCTCTACACCTTGTTATCTCGAATCCTGATCGGGGCTGAGTCCGGCGCCACATTCAGTCCAATTGGCAGAAAGACAAGCCAATCTAGCTCAGATGTCGTGCCCCGCCCCCTCCTTCCGACGGCTCTGTGTTACTGCCAATCAGTGGGCTGAATGTGAGCATGCGCAATACGAGACCGAAGCGGGGCGCTGAGCTGCAAGTTTACGGCGGTAAAAGCCGTCCGGTGAGTGGAGCCAATGGCTCAGGTAAATGAGAACTTTCAAAAATATATAGCATAAGTCTGAAATCCTGTATAAGAATCCCCAGTTTCGACGTTTGGCCCGCTCAGAAGCCAATTGCAGGTTTTGTATGGAAAACAGGCGCCGCGGCCGCCGGAATGTCGGGCACCGCGGCGCCTGCGCGACCATGTTGGTTAGGTTTTCCGGCAGAACGCATGCGTCGTCCACACCTTCCGTGCGTTGGTAAACCCGGATGAAGAACCCGCAGGAACAATAAACAAGAGGCGTACAATCAATGGATTGTTGTGAAGCCGAAGGCCAGGGGTGCAGTCAGCAACACCAGCTTCTATTTCTATACCATCTTTTGAGGTAAAACAAATTGTTGCAAAGCGACATGAGGCGATATCGGGGCAGATGATCAAAACGCTTGAACAAAGGTATGTTTTAAGGAGGAAAGTGAGGTGTAGGGAGAGAATTCCAGATCTTGGGACCAAGGCAACTGAAGATGGAACCGCCAATGATGGAGCAGTGAAAGTTCAGAATGCGTCAGAGGCCAGAATTAGAGGAACCCAGATATTTCGGAGGCTGTGGTAAGGACGAACTAACAGATAGGACGAGATAGTAGGAACTGCAGATGCTGGAGAATCCGAGACAACAAGGTGCAGAGCTGGATGAACACAGCAGGCCAAGCAGCATCATAGGAGCAGGAAGGCTGACGTTTCGGGCCTAGACCCTTCATCTGCACCTTGTTGTAACAGATAGGACGAGGCCGTTTGATAATAAAGATGAGCATTTCAAAATCACGGTGTTGTTTCAATGAGATCTAGTATCGGTCAGTGAGCACGGGCTTGACAGGGGAATGAGACTTAACTGCAATTCACCCAGAGCAAAATTTGCGATGCCTTCAAGTTTACAGAAGGAGGAATCTGGAAGATCATTGGGGGACTGCCATTGAAATAGTCGAGCTTGGAGGTAACAAAGGAGTGAATGAGGGTGAGTGAGATAACAGATGGAAACGTGGTCTTATTGATGGCAAAGATATGAGATTAGAAGCTCCTCTTTGGAAACGAATTTCACACTGGGGTTTTGAACAGCCTGACAGAGGCTGAGTATTGTTAGAGAGAGTGGTAAATGAAGATTGGAGCATAAAATGGAAGCAGTGGCTTCATTCTTCCCACTATTTAATTGAAGTTAATTCATCAGCATGAAGAGAATCAGGAACTAGAATGGACCTTGAAGCTGATTCCAGGTTTAATTTAGTTTGTGCTGGGAGAGGAAGAGCAAAGGTTTGGAGAAACCGCATTCGTAAGAGAAATTTCGGTCATGAAGATAGAATAGAGAAAGTTAAATGGAAATTTTCAAAGTCATGAGGGAGCTGGGTAGGTAGTGAGAAACTGTTCTCATTAATAAAAGCATTGAGAACAAGGGTGCAGACTTCAAATAATGTACAAAAGAGCAAATTGTGATGTGAGAAAGATATTTCACACAGCTGGTGATTAGATCTGGAATGTGTTGCATGGAACTGTAATTTAAGCAGGTTCAATTGAGGCTGTTAGATGATTTTCCTATTCAAATAATGTGCAAGATTATAGGGAAAAAATCAGGAGAATGGCACAATGTCAGAATGCTCAATTAGAGAACTATGCAGACAAAATGTGCTGAATGACCCCTGTGAATCACAGAATTGCTAAAGCATAGACAATCGCTCATTGGATGTATTAGGCAAGAACTTTCACAAGTTGATTGGGGGTGGATGTTTGCAGGTAAAGGGGCAGCTGGAAAATGGGAAGTCTTCAAAAATGTGATAACCAGAATCCAGGGACAGTATGTTCTTGTTAGGATGAAGGGCAAGGCTGACAGGTGTAGGGAATGCTGGATGACTAGAGAAATTGAGGTTTTGGTTAAGAAAAGGAAGGAAGCATACGTCAGGTATAGACAGCGGAGATCGAGTAAGTCCTTAAAGTACAAAGGAGTATACTTGAGAGGGAAATCAGGAGGGCAAAAAGAGGACGTGAGATAGCCTTGGCAAGTAGAGTTAAGGAGAATCCAAAGGGATTATGGAGAAGGATATGGAAGATAGAGAATGTGGGGAAATAGATAGCAACATCTTGAAAAAATGGACATATTACAGAGGAGGAGGTGCAGGACGTCTTAAAATGCATAAAGGTGGATAAATCCCCGGGACCTGATCAGGTGCACCTTAGAACTCTGTGGGAAGCTAAGGAAGTGATTGCTGGGTCCCTTGCTGAGATAATTGTATCGTCGGTAGCCACGGGTAGGGTGTCGGAAGACTGGAGGTTGGCTAACATGGTGCCATTATTTAAGAAAGGGGGGAAAGAAAAGCCAGGGAACTGTAGACTAGTGAGCCTGACATTGGTTCAGAGATGGTAGGAACTGCAGATGCTGGAGAATCTGAGATAACAATGTGTAGAGCTGGTTGTACACAGCAGGAGGGAGGAGGGTAACTAGCCTCTGATGCGGCTTGGCCTGCTGTGTTCATCCAGCTCTACACCTTGTTATCTTAGCCTGACCTTGGTGGTAGACAAGTTGTTGGAGGTAATTCTGAGGGACAGGATTTGCATGTATTTGGAAAGGCAAGGACTAATTAGGGATAGTCAACATGGCTTTGTGCGTGGGAAGTCATGTCTCACTAAATTAAGTTTTTTGAAGAAGTAACAAGGAGGATTGATGAGGGCAGAGCGGTGAACGTGATCTATGTGGACTTGAGTAAGGTGTTAAGGTTCCTCATGGTAGATTGGTTAGCAAGATTGGATCACATGGAATACAGGGAGAACTAGCCGTTTGGATACAGAACTGGCTTAAAGGTAGAAAACAGAGGGTGTTGATGTAGGGTTACTTTTCAGACTGGAGGCCTGTAACTAGTTGTGTGCCACAAGAATCAGTGCTGGCTCCACTGATCTGTCATTTAAACAAACGATTTGGATGTGAACGTAGGAGGTGTGGTTAGTAAGTTTGCAGATGATACCAAAATTGGAGACATAGCGGACAGCGAAGAAGGTTACCTCAGAGTACAATGGGATCTTGATCAGATGGGCCAGTGGGCTGAGGAGTGGCAGATGGAGTTTAATTTAGTTAAATGTGAGGTGCTGCATTTTGGAAAGGCAAATCAGGGCAGGACTTATACACTTAATGGTAAGGTCCTGGGAAGTGTTGTTGAACAAAGAGACCTTGGAGTGCAGGTTCATAGTTCCTTGAAAGTGGAGTCACAGGTAGATAGGTTAGTGAAGCAGACATTTGGTATGTTTGCTTTTTTTGGACAGTACATTGGGTAAGGAGTTGGGGGTCATATTGTGCCTGTACAGGACATTGTTTAGGCTACTTTTGGAATACTGTGTTCAATTCTAGTCATCCTTCTATAGGAAGGATGTTGTGAAACTAGAAAGGGTTAGGAAAGATTTACAAGGACGATGCCAGTGTTGGAGGGTTTGAGCTATAGGGAGAGCCTGGACAGGCTGGACCATTTTTCCCTGGAGCATCGAAGGCTGAGGGGTGAACTTGTGGAGGTTTATAAAATCTCAAAGGGCATGGATAGGGTAAATAGACAAGGTCTTTTCTCCTTGATGGGGAGTCAACAACTAGAAGGCATAGGTCTAAGGTGAGAGGGGAAAGATTTAAAATGGATCTAAGGAGCAACTTTTTCATGCAGAGGGCGGTGTGTGTGTAGAATGAGCTGCCAGAGGCAGTGGAGGAGACTGGTACAATTACAGCATTTAAAATGCATCTGGATGGATATATGAATGGGAAGGGTTTAAAGGGATATGGGCCAAATGCTGGCAGATCGGACCTGATTTATCTAGGATATCTGGTTGGCATAGACGATTTTGACCAAAGGATCTGTTTCCGTGCTGCACATCTCTATGACTGTATGAATGTCCACAGTTAGCTATGAACATGAGGTTAACATCTTCTGTTCTGTATGGCCAGTCCAGGAGAATCAGATTAATGTTTTGTGATGAAAACTTTCTGAGATTATCAAACACCTTGCTGCCTGTAGATGCATATTATTTTGTTAAAAAGTTCAGAATGAATAACCGAAAACTGTATTTGGATGTTAGCAGAAGGAGGGAAGACTGTGTAACAGGGATTTACAGCTTTCGGGGAACAAGAAAGGAAAATATTCCACAGAAACTGTAATTGTCTGTTCTGAATTTCTATCCTATACTCATAATGCTGACTTTTGTGCTGACTCCTTTTCCAGTGTATTAAAGAAAGAGGATTAGCTGATGGGAGACTTGAATCAGATCTGAGTGAGTCATCAGGATGTAAATGTTCCCATTCAACATTTGGTCTATCAGTGGAAAAAGTTTTCTAACGTTGTGACTGGAAAAACACCAACAAACACGCACACAGACCTGAGTGAGAATGTTCCAGTGAACTGATTGCAGTAAAAGCTTTTAACAGTTACACAGCCTGAAAAAAAAATCACCCCATTCGTAGTTGAGAAACTGGTGTGTGGACGAGCTTTCAACTGATCATCTAACCCAGAGACGCACCAGGACATCCATAGCATGGAGAAACCATGGAAATGTGCCGACTGTGGGAAAGGATTCATTTCCCCATCAAAACTGGAAACACATCGTCGCAGTCACACTGGAGAGAGGCCATTCACCTGCTCCGTGTGTGGGAAGGGATTCACTGATTCATCCAACCTGCTGACACACCAGCGAGTCCATGCTGAGGAGAGGCCGTTCAGCTGCACTTACTGTGGAAAGAGGTTCAGGCACTCGGGCGCACTCACTGTACACCAGCGAGTTCACACTGGGGAGAGGCCGTTCGCCTGTTCTGTGTGTGGGAAGGCATTTAGTCAGTCAACTACCTTGCTGAGACACCAGCAAATCCACACTGAGGAGAAGCCATTCAGCTGCCCGGACTGTGGAAAGAGGTTCACACGTTCAGGTACCCTTGTAATGCACCAGCGAGTTCACACTGGGGAGAGGCCATTCACCTGCTCTGTGTGTGGGAAGGGATTCACTCAGTCATCCCACCTGTTGACACATCAGCGACTTCACACTGGGGAGAAACCATTTCCCTGCACTGTGTGTGGGAAGGGATTTGCTCAGCAATCCCACCTGCTAACGCACCAGCGAGTTCACACGGGGGAGAGCCAATCCATCTGCTCAGTCTGTGGGAAGGGATTCACTCTGCCATCCCAGCTAGTGACACACCAGCGAGTTCACACTGGTGAGAGGCCATTCACCTGCTCCGTGTGTGGGAAGGGATTCATTAGTTCAGCTACACTGCTGCGACACCAGCAAGGTCACACTGAGGAGAGGCCCTTCAGTTGTACTGATTGTGGAAAGAGGTTCAAGCAGTCTGACTACCTCATTGTACACCAGCGAATTCATACTGGGGAGAAACCATTCACCTGCTCTCAGTGTGGGAAGAGATTCATTGATTCATCTCGACTGCGGAGACACCAGCGAGTTCATGAGCGACTGCAGGGATATGGTTCCGTTATTACTCACATCCAGAAATGAATCACGTTCATTCTGACAATTGCTCTTCGTTTCTGCCAATGTTAATAATCCCTGTAACTGGAACTGGAGATTAATATTCTGGATCTGAATGACTGAATTTTCAGGGCTGCAGTGTCCCTTTAAAAAGCACCGTCTGTGAATGTTCACCATAATTCAGGGATTTTCACCAGAAGTTAATTGATAACAAAATTCTGAACTTTTTGCTTTCGTCCTAAATTGATCTTTGCAAATTTTAAAATTCAGTGTCTGAGCAATTCCACTGATTAACATCACCAATGAGAACGTGCTGATGAGTCCTTACTGACAATTCTGACTAGCTTGCACATTCCATGCAGTAGTCCCTCCATTATCCACAAGAAGGAAGGGAATGGAATTTGGGGGAGATTAGAGAGTCTCAATGTTTTCCTGCTCACCTGGTACTGAAATCCTGTTGATACAGGAATGAAAACAATTCTGATCTGAGTAATGGACTGTGAGAAATCACCATCCAATAACCTGATTAAAGTCTTCTGAAATGTATTGATTTGTTATAGAAAATACTCTCTCTCTCTTTCGAAAAAAAAAATCCATAGCAGATTACTGTCTGACAGATGCAGGACAGGCCTGTTCTCTCTGTCCAGGATGTGACTCTAGCACAGATCCTGAAGCAAGATATTTCTGACTCTGATATGATCAGATCTAATAATTAACTGTCCGTGTAAAAGTTTAAAGACAAGCTGTTGGAAAGTGTTTCAAAGTGATCCAACCTGGCTTTAACACAAGCTTCCATTCTGGCGCTCACTAGTAAATTGTTCAGAGGAGTCACTGCCACCTGCTACAGAGACCTGCATTCATTCTGCATCATGCGTCCATTTGTCCTCCAGGACTGGAATACTATTCTCACATGTCATTGTCCTGTTTAGCTTCTCACATTAAGGTGTTGCTTCTTAATAAACCACTCTTAAATAACGTATAAGTTTTGAGCCCCTTTTTTTCGGGGAGTGAGATCTCAGTGGTAGAGCTCCTAGTCTTGAGCAGTAACAGCCTTGGGAACTTCTTCACCTGTGCTTAACTAAGTGAGGCCAGGAATATACAGTGACATTCACATATTACGGGAAATGTCTGATTGCTAAGAGAGAAAACAGGCAGGGCCTAAGAGAGCTTGGGAATTGTGGAAGAGCGTGACAGGGCTTATAAATATATCCACAATTGGCTTTACAAAGAGTTTTAGGAGGGCAAAATTAAGTTGAACTAAGTCCAGAATCAGTGAGACAACTTTCCGAAGATGGATGCAGATGAACAGCAATGGAGAATTTAAAATTCATCCATGGACTTTTAATTGAACTATCTGTATTAACGACTTGCCAATAATTTAGATTTGTGTGAGATGATCAGCAGTCAAGAGGATAAATCAAGTCAATAGTTACCACACTTAACCAGAAAAGTTTTGACACACATTCTTGGGGGCAGCTTAAAAGTTTGTCTTTCTGATTCTGATCATTCTCACAGCTTTAGGAAGTTTGCTACAGTGTGTAATCAGGAAATGAGGAGAACAAGCTCCTAACTAAGAACTAGCTGGGTTTGATAGAAATCGGTTGTCATTAAGGAGATTCCCTTCTCAGGGTTGGGAGGTCTATAACAAATCACCATCGAATAATCTGATCAAATTTTAAACATACTCAGGAGGTAACCATTTGGCCCATCAAGCCCGCTGTTGCATTCCGTACAATCACTGATCATCCATGTCAATGCCTTTTTCCTGGACTACCCTTAACCGTGCTTTTCTTTTAGAAGCAGGTCTGTCAATCTCTATTTTAAACATACTTGATGACTGAGCTTCTACAGCTCTTTTGGGACAGAGAATTCCAAAGATTCACAACCATTTCCATAAAATAGTTTCTCCTCACCATACCAGGTGGTTCCCCACTTCTTTTTCAATTGTGCCCTCTGGCTCCAGGCTCCCCATCCAGAAAACCTATTACTTGCCTTTTGTATTCTTTTAAGTATTTGATCAGTTTCAAAGAGATCACCTCTAATTCTTTGAACCATGTGAATATCTAGGGTTGCAACTGCAAGACTGTCAGCAAGAGAGCTAGGAATGAGTTGAGAAGAAATATCTTCACTCAGAGTTGTTAGGATTTGAAATGCTCTGGCTGGGAGGGTGGAGGCAGATTCCATTGGCGGTTCTAAAAGAGAGCTGGATATATATTTGAAAGGGATGAAGTTAAAGGGCTGTGGAGATAGGGCTGGAAAGTGGGATTAACTGGGTAGTTCTTTTGGGAGCTGGTACAGACATGATGCCTCCTTCTCTACTGTAAAATTCTATGAATTTTAATATAGGCCCAGTTTTTATAATGTGCCTTCATAGCAGACTGCTGCCATCCAAGGTAAGTCTGGTGAGCTTTAGTGCACTCCCTCTGTGGCAATGATAGCCTTCATAAGCTAATGAGACCAAAACTGCACAGGCCAAAGGGCCTGTTTCAACACTGTAGGGATTCTATGAACTACTCCAGGTGCAGTCACAGCACGGTTTATGCAATTAAATCCTCTTGCAAGAAAGGCTAACATAGCTTTCCTAATTGCCAGCTCTACCCGCTGGATAGCTTAAGTGCCTTATTGACTAGGAGAAAATGTAGATCAGTGAGTGCAGGGGTTTGGGAGAATGCGTCCAAAAAGCACACAAGCAGTATAGTTTTGGATGATCACAGATGAAGGTGCAGTGAATGTGAGAGGCTGGTCAGGACTGAATTGGTATCTCCAAGTCTAAAGACTTGGATGAGGTGCTCAGCAGCAACTAAGCCGGAGAGGGGTGACTTTATGGAAACTGAAGTACCTGGTATCAGTTAGAATGAGTTGGGTTTTAGTGTCACATGTACAAGGGACAAATTTTAGGTAAAAATTCAAAAAGAAAAGAAATAAGTTAAAAGTTCGACATTACAGCTGTTTTCAGTGTAAAGTAGTAAATAAGAAATATAGTTAAAAGTTCTAATTTGCAGTCCTTCTTTAGCCATGGGCCTGCAGTCACTCCATTCTGGGCTTTCCTCACGAGAGTTCAGTCTCTCTCCTGCACTGGGCCTGATATCTGTGTTGCCATCTCACTGCTGACAACCATCTGCTCACGAGCCACTTTGCACAGGCCACCGGAGTCCCCCTCTGCTGCTGCGGGCCCCCAGCTGCTTCCACAATGCTGCCAACCACCAGAATTCTGCCTGGGCACACCAAACACCTCATGGCCAACTGCCAAAGTCTCGCTGTGGGCCCCCAGCTGCTGCCTCCACACCTAAACTGCCTCCTGAAGGTAAGTAGAGAACAAAAAAGCCAGGAAAAAGAAAAGAAGAAAGAAAAGTGGCTGGGCTCCGGCTCAGGAGACCTACTCTGCTGCTATCTTGGAATTATGGTGTGGAGTTGTGATCACAAAGTCATCTTGGGGTCAAAAAATGGCAACAATATTGTGGACAGTGTGATTCAGCTTCAGACAGTTTTAACAGAAGGGGAAATTTGAATGTTGAATGAATGGAATGGTTCTGATTGTTCCAAATTTTAATTAGAGGAATTTTCTGCTCATGCAGTACTGAAAGAAAATATAACAAGAGTGGAGGAGTGTAGAGGGATAGTGGATTATGGAGCTGGGCATAGTCAGTGTACATGTGCTTTTTTACTGCAAGAGGCTTAAATGGGGCAGACTTGGTTAAAGTGCATCCTCGAGGATTTCTTGAAACAGTACGTAGATAGTCCAACTGCAGGAGAGGCCATACTGGAATCTGTATTGGCTAACAAGCCTGGCCACGTGACTTCTTTTCAGTGGGAGAGCATTTTGGAAACCGTGATCACAACTGCTTAAGTTTTAAGATAGCTACAAATAAGGATAAGTCAGGACCTTGCAGGAAGGTACTAAATTGGGGGAAGGCTAATTATGCCAGTATTAGTCAGGTGCTAGGGGTGTTAATTGGAGGAGCTGTTATTGGCCAAGTCCACATTTAACGTGGGAGTTGTGTAATGACCTCCTGATCAAAGTTCAGGACTGGCATTTTCTGGTAAGGAGGAAGGGCAAAGATGGCAAGGTAAGGGAGCCTTGGATAATGAGGGAGGTTGTAAATTCAGTCAAAAGGGAAAAAGAAGCATATACAATGTTTAGGAAGCTAAAATCCAGGAATATAGTGAAAGCAGGAAAGAACTCAAGCAGGGAACTAAGAGAGCAAGAAGGGGCTATGAAATGACCTTGGCAAGTAAGGTTAAAGAGAATCTTAAGGCATTGTGTACATAAATTAAAGCTAAGAGGATAACTAGGGAGAAGTTAGAATCATTCAATGATAAAGAAGGGAACTTGTGCTTGGAGGCAGAGGATATAGGCAAGATCCTAAATGAGTACTTTACGTTGGTATTCTCCCAGGAGAGAATATGGAGCATAGCGAGATTAGTGTGGAGCATGCGACTGTGCTATGGCATTTTGAGATCAAGAAATAATTGGTGTTTTGTCTGATAAGTCTCCAGGGCCCGATGGTATCTACCCTAGGTTATTGAGAGAGACAAGAGAGGAGATTTCTGGGGCCTTGATGAAGATCTTTGTATCCTTGCTAGCTACTGGAGAGGACCCAAAAGACTGACAAGTAGCTAATGTCCTATTCAGGAAAGGAAGTAAGAATAATCTAACTATAGAGCTGTGAGACTCACATCGGTGGTTGGGAAGCTATTGGAGAGAATTCTTAGGGATAGGATTTACATGCTTTTAGAAAAGCATAGCCTAATTATGGACAGTCAGCATGGCTTTCTGTGGGGCAGCTCATGTCTTAACTAATGATTAAATTTTTTGAGGTGATGATGCTTGATGAAGGTACGGCAGTGGATGTTGTCTGCATGGATTTTAGTAAGGCTTTCGACACGGTCCCTCATGGTAGGCTCATCCTGAAGATTAAGATGCATGGGATCTGCGGTGACTTGACCACGTGGATTCAGAAGTATCTTTCCCATAGAAGGCAGAGGGTAGTGGTGGAAGGGTGTTCACTTTTGGCTGGAAGTCCATGACTGATGGATTCCTCAGGGATCCATACCAGGACCTCTACTGTTCATGATATATGTGTGTGTATAAAATGATTGTGTGTGTGCTGCGGAAGGTTATCAAAGGGTACAGCGGGATATAGAAGCATTGCAGATATGGGTGGAGAAATGGCAGATGGAGTTTAATCTGGATAAGTGTGAGGTGCTGCACTTTGGGAGATCAAATAGTAAGGAAATGTATGGAGTTAGTGGCAAGACCCTGAACAGCATTGATGTACAGAGGCATCTTGGGGGTGAAGTCCATAGCTCCCTGAAAGTGGCCACACAAGTAGGGTGGTAAATTAGGCATATGGCCTGCCTGCCTTTATTGGTCAGAATATTAAGTACAAGAGTAAGAATGTCATGTTGCAGCTTTATAAGACTTTGATTAGGGCACACTTAGAATATTGTGCTCAGCTCTGTCGCCATATTACAGGAAGGATGTGGAGGCTTTGGAGAGAGTTACCAGGATGCTGCCTGGATTAAAACTCGGGTTGTTCTCTCTGGAATAGTGGAGGCTGAGGGGAGACTTGATAGAAGTCTATGAAATTATGAGATGCCTAGATAGGGTTGGTGGTTAGAATCTTTTTCTCTAGAATTGAAATGTCTGGTACTAGGGGGCATGCATTTAAGGTGAGAGGGGGAAAGTTCAAAGGAGATGTGAGGGATGAGTTTTTTGCACAAATTGTGATAGGAATCTGGAACGCACTGCCAGGGGTGGTGGTAGAGGCGGTGTATAAGGGACTTTCAGAAAAGCGAACATACATGCAAGGAATGGAGGGATATGGACCGGGGCAGGCAGAAGGAATTAGTTTAATTTGGCACAACGTCGTGGGCTAAAGGGCCCATTCCTGTCCTGTACTGTTCTGTGTGCTTTTGGACGATGTGACCTAGTGGCAGCATGTAGAGGAGGAATAAGAGGGGCTAAGGATAGATCCATGAAGGACACCAAGGAAAGAGGTCTGAGATGGGCAATAACTTGTGTAGAAGCTGGGGTTAAGGGTTATATTTTTGATAATGGCTGATGATAGTAGAGCACAAGGATAGGGAGCTAGAACTGGAAAAGTGAGAGGATCAACAATAATAATAATATTAGTAAACTTTGGGAAGTCAGATGCTTGGCAGTTTAATGGGAATAAGGCCAATGAAGCTGAAAATGTCTTATGGCCAAGGTGATCTCTGACTGGGCAGTCAATAACTGCAGAAAGATCTTACTTCTGGGTTTGGTTAAGGAGGCCTTGTGGCTAGTGGAACTGTGGGGAACAACAGAGGCAGCTGAAGGACTGTTTTAACATTAGTGACAGAGAAGCTGAAGGAGCTTCTCCTGCTTATTGCTAGAAGTGGGGATTGTGGAGATTGAGAATGCTTCAAAAAGAAATAAGTAGTATCAGAGATATTACAAAGACCTAACACTTGGCTCTGTAGTTACTTGTGAAGTTGCTTATGTCTCAATAGATGGACTAACTAAGTGAATGAATTCACACATGCATAGTAGGTGAATGGTCATAGCCCATTGTAATCTTACTTGTGTTTCAGCAAGATGAACAACTGAATAGCTGACTGAATAAAATGTTAGGAAAAGAAATCTGTCATCCTTATCTGATCTGGCTTGTGTGTTTCTGGAGACTTACAGGTATGTGTTTGACTCTTAAATGTCCTCTGAAAGTGCCTAGCAAGTAATTCAAGGGCAGGTTGAGATGGCAAGCAACTGTAGGTAATGGCAATGACACTCGTATCCCATGAACATCTAACTAAGACTGGTTTTCCTCTGGTTTTTTTTAAGGTGGAGATAGGTGAGTTTTAGTTTCAGTTCTGTGATGGTCATTCTTTTTTTACAAGAGTTGTTATTTGGAACAGTGAACTAAAGACAAAATTTTCATAACAAATGCGATTTAATCAAGTGTCTCACAGGACACGTTTGGTGTAAATGGATAAAGTGTATATACTACTGATTTTAACGCACAGAGAAAAAGCAGATCCAAAGCTATGAGTTTAGTTGTTACTCTGGAGCAGAAGAATGAAGTTTTCAGTTCAGGGCAACAGTTTCATCACAGTGGAAGAGTTTGTTCATGAAGCCTCTAATCTGGAAATGTTTGTACCCAAGTTTTCAGAGCTGAAAAGATGTTCAGGCCCTCAGAATTAAAAAGGATTCTTGTCAGCAGACTTGGAAACTCATAAAATCATCTTTAGTGGTCCCAGGAGGAGAACTGGAAAGAATCAGATCAGAAAACAGAGTTGAGAGAAAAGTGATATTTCACTGAGTGACAGTCAGGGATATTGCTGGAAATAGGCTGCAAGTATGTTTTGCTTTTTATGTTGAGCTTTCTAAACATTTCAATGTACGGCTATTTTTGTTTTCTCCCCCTCCTCTTTTTGTGGAACAATCTTGTGTTCTTTTGAAAAGATCACTTGTGGCCTGTGCGTGCTGCCACACGCTCTGTCTGTTTTTTTTAAAATCAGCCTGTTTCGAAATATTACAACACATCTCTAGAGAAGATGGGACTTGAACCTGGTCCTCCAGGCTCAGAGATATTTATACTACCAGTGAACCACACACTGTGTCTATACAGCTATGGTAACCAATGATAAATGTTTAAACTTGTAATCTATCAATTCAGTTGTCACTGTGGGATATGACTTATCTGGTATTACCACCAGCTGGGATCATTAATCCAATCAGTGAATGATGAACTAAATAAAGCTAATAAGAAACTGCATTGTTTCCTGTTCCAGGTTTTTGTGTAATATCTCAAAAAGAAAGTCACAGAGTCTTTTTCTTGTTATCCTGCCAATTAATCCATCTAATATTTATCTTGTGAACATTTTGCCTGTAACTCAGACAACAATCAGAAGTGGACAGCCTCAACTAACTTTGGAGCTGAACTTCATTGACAAAATCTGTAAAATTCAGGTTCACCGTTAATGTGAGGAGGGGCTGTCAGACAGTGATTTCTGCTCTTGCTATTTAATAAAGACCACTTTAACTGTTCAATGAGTGGAAAGAAATCGCCATTTTTGGAAAAATTCCTTACTAAACTCACTGTCATTTTGCTTTAGCAAGACCAACTTGAATCAACTAAAATTTTTGAAATATAAAATTGGGCAGTTGTAATGTAATTAATAAAATTTTGGGATGATTGTTTTAAAAATTTACTGTAATGAACTGACCTAAGTGCCTACACAGAACTGTAGGTTTAAACCTCATGGTGTTTTATTTCTCACACTTGGTAATGGAAATTGCACAACAATGGACACAGCACATCCCTGAAACATTTTCCGAATATAAAGCTTGATTTGTTGAAGTGAAATTTGCTTTGAAACTCATTGACCTCTGTTCTGTTAGTTCAGCGATTCATTGAAATTGTTTTATTGTGGTTGCTGTTTAAATGTGTCTAAGACACTGCTCCAATTACTCAGACATTCTGCTTTTACCTGCTGCTTGAACAAAGATGCCACAAATTTGGAGTCTTTCCAGGTGACTGGGGAACTGACTTAGCACTCCGCTTAACCACCAACTCGACAAAAGTTATTACCATTGCTCCTGGGCAGGATTAAAGGAAGGAATCGAATTGGAATGCTTGTAAATTATAACTGACAGAGATCAAAACACAGTGCAAACTCTTTTTCATACTATTCTAAGCTTTCATTTTGAAGGGGCTCTGATGGAGGAGGGTAAATAGGGTGTTCCACAACATGAGCCAATCCGAATAAAGTCTCATATACCTGCTATTCTCCTCTCAAGCCTGTCCTGCCATTTAAATGGATTACCTGTAGTCTGTATCTTCACTTCATCAATATGGGTTGGTTCTGTCAACCTACTAACCCTCACCTTACAAAAGGTGTCAGTCTCTATTTTTGTTATTTTCATTTGACAGCCCAAATTCAGCAGGATTTTACAGGAGAGAGTTCCGGCTTCCGTTGACCATTGTCTGAGAGCTGCTTCCTCACGTGATCCTAAACATCACCACTCTGTGTCAAAGAATGGTGAAACCCCAAAAATTACATCATTGTAGTGTTTCCCTCTTTCTTCGAAAGAAAATGAGAGAGACAGAGAGAAAGGCTGTTACAACCAAAAGTTCTATCTTAGAAACAGCGGCAACTTAGCAGAGAGGTAAAAGGGCAGGTTTTGGTGAGTGTCGAGTTTTGCTGAGTAGGGCTAGCAGAATTAAATTAGGCAAAGTTTTTTTTTGATTCCGTAGTCACTAGAGTGATAGTAGTGGCAGTTAGCGGAGTGGTATGCTTCTCCTATGAGATGTGGGAGATCAGGGAGAAGTCAAATATCCCTGACAACTATGTCTGCAGGAAGTGTCCACCTGCAGCTCTCCCAAACCACATGGTTCAATTGGAGCATCAATTATACTCACTGAGAACCAGATAGGATGCAGAAAGTTTTATAGATAGGAGTTTCAGGAATGTGGTTACATCAAAGGTTCAAACAGATAGATGGGAGACCAGAAGTTAGGCAGTGCAGGAGTGCCCTGTGGTTATTCTCCTGTCAAACAAGTGTACCGTTTTGGATACTGTTGGGAGGCATAGCCTCTCAGGGGAAGGCAACAGCAGTGGACAAGTCAGTGGCACCACAATTGGCTATTGTACAGCAGCAGGGTCAAAGTGTAGGTCAGCGATAGTCATAGGCAACCCTAA